GTGTGCTGTCATGTCATGGAGGAACAACCTTGCCTATGATTCAGCACCTCTTGTCTGCAGAGATCCCCTGCCCTTTGACACACCACATGTACTCACAGGACACTTATTAGTCTTCCACAGCTTGTGGTGTAGGCCATCCCATGATCCTGCCTCTTCTCATGGCATAGAAATGAGCTGTCAAAATTTCCACCATGCTGAGGATGTGGGCACAGCCCGGGGAGAGCTTAATCCTTGCCACATGGGATTGGTTGGTTTTGGCTCAGTTGTCCTTTCCCAGGAGGCCAGAGCTGCCTTTGCCCCCGCTGTTGTCCCTGCTGATGGGCAGTACTGGGGGTTTCATGTGTAACTGCCAATATCTCAGTTAAAAACAAACCTTGCTTGTGTTGGAGTAGCAAAATCTTTCAACAGGGCAGAATACACCTCAGCATCCCCCAGGTCCTCCTATTCCCTTGGCAGAAGAGCCCATCTGGAAGCCCTTGGTCACAAAACCCAGCAAGAGCTCAGCATGGAGCTTGGAGGAGTTGAACTTGATGATGCCTGTTCGTTGCGCCCAACTCAGGATGTTTAATGATTCTCTGTGTTGAAATACTGTGTTGCCCATGCATTCCTCTGCCTGTTACTGTTACAGGCAGTGAGGACGTGCTGTGCCTAACACCAGCTTCTGGGAACAGCAAATTCCTTAATCCTCCTTATGACCGCCCTATAGAATGTTTTTATTCTTTGTGGGAGTCTGACTCGAAAAAATTCTAATGAAAATCTCTAATGAAATGGCATCAGATTCTGACTTCTGAGAACTGGCAGAGGAGTTCCTGGCTATGAACTGAACTGCAATGTAACAGAAACAACTCCACAGGTTTCTGTTTCAGGAAAGCACTTAAGAATACACTTAATTTTACAGTGAATGTAGTTTGCCCTCAGAGAAGTGCTTCAGGTATGTGCTGGATACAAATGGCTTAAGACTACATGGGATCAGAGGCTTAGGTTAGTTCCTACAAATATTTAGCATGAAATGAAGGATATACTCTTCAGATGATGGAGAATCATAGAATCCCAGAATTCCAGGTTGGGAGTGACCTCAAGGATCATCTAGCCCAACCTTTCTTGGCAAAAGCATAGCCTAGACAAGATGGGTCAAGCACAAAAAGAAGTCACTGCTCATTAATTAGCAGTGCTAATGAGAATACTACATATTGGTCCAGCTCAAGGAAAGGAACCTGTGTGTTCCTAAGTGAATGTATCCACCACCTCACCTTCACAACTGCTTTGGGTAACACGTGGGAAAGGTGGGACTGCACAGACATGGAATGACATAAGGAATGTGGTATTCAAGAGGACACTCATAACAACATGGAAATTTTAAAACTCATTTAGCATCAGCAGCTTTAAGGAAAAAGTGCAACCAAGAAGGAATGAGGAGATTCCTGCCCCCTGATTTTGTGTTTAAAAAGAATGAAAGAATGTCAGGCAGAATTCCAGCACCATGCAGCTAACTGCCAATGTTCCTCCTCTCCTTGCTTCCAGATGACAAGTATCTCATTTATGAAAAACCTTTAGGTAATTTTTTCCCCTGGTGCTATTGCATACTGTGCTGTCCATGTTTTCTGCACCAGATCTGTGCCATTTTCCAGGAGGTCTGATTCTTCTTAGTACTCGTTTGTTGCTTTAGCAGGAATTTTAAGCATCACTCCCTTCTGATGTAATGGGTGAAGGTTTGTGATCGGATGTAAGTTGCGCAGATGAAATTATTTGAGAACAGACACTGCTGAGAGTTGGGACTAGATCCTCACGAAGGCAGTTTGGGAATAAAAAAAGCTTGAATGTCCGTAAAGAAATTAATGGAAAGCCCCCAGGAGTTGTCATGGAAGCTGGTTTTACCAGAGGAGCAGAGGGAACAACTCCCTTAGGGATTGCAGAAACACAAAGAACAAAACCCAAGGGTAAAGTTGCAGGAAATGCCCAAGGTCAAGTAAACAATAACTAGTGTTATCCACCAGGAATGTTTCATATGGGATTTCCAAGTGGTATAAAATTCCAGTGTAAAAAGAACCTGCTCCAGTTTTTCTAGCATCCATTGGAAGAGCTCAGCAGAGGGGAGAAGCTCTTGCCACCTCATCACTTCCCCTTATCTCTCAGGAGATAAATTTGAGACAAATTTGAGTAGAAAACTGTGCCAGGAGGGAATTTTGAGAGGTCACCCAGCCTAGAACCCGTCTGCAAGAAAGGGATAATTCAGCCTGCCTTCATTAATTGTTCAAATTGGTTTTGGGAAATCTATAGACAAATACTCAGGTTTTCAGATGTCTGAAAACAGCCCCAAAACTGAAGGCAAACTGAGTCTGTGGTGCTGCTTTGGGTAAAAGCTGAGGAGCAGCAGCAGAGCTGGACATGGAGGCAGAATCCACTGTCCTTCATGTGTGGACACTGCTGGCTGTGGCTGCCAGGAATTACCATCCATAATAATCAGCTTTTTTGATTAAAGGGTTATTTGTCAAGTGCAGTGAAAATACTACTCTGCCTTTCTCTAGAAGTTCTCTCCCTGACACCATTTGCCAGCAGAGACATCCCAGGATACTGTTAAAAATCCAATAAAATGCCTAGATCAATTCAGAACCCTCCAAAGTACTTTAAGGCAGGTTTCTAGCTGTGCCTTATATTTCCAAACCTGTACTAGTAGGTCAGTCAGTTAATCAAGAACACTTCTGGAAATCATGACTAACCCAACAATCTCATACACAGCTAAAACATTACTGCTAAGAGACTCATTCAAGATTGTAATCTGTACTGTAACAGCAGATCCTTTCCCTAAACAAACTGCTGGATTTGCTGGATGTGTCAGCAAATCAGAAGCAGGACGATAAGGAAGAAGAGACTAAAAATAACTCAATTAGCAATAAAACCATCCTACAGCACTGGATATTAAGGCCACTTCTTGATAATTGCTTGATTTCAGCTCAGCAGAGTAGGAAGGATGGCTGGGGGCACAGACCTTAAAAAGCCTCTGCTTGCTCCACTTTCTGAGACAGATGTTAGCAGCCAGAGACTGGACTTTGAAGCTGGGTCTGATTTGTCTTGGCATTTTCTGTGGTTCTCTGGGACAGAATGTCGTAGGAAGTGGGATGAGCTCTGACCTCAGCACCACTGCAACGCAGACCCTCGGTGCACTCGTCACCGCTGCCTTGCGTGGGGACAGGACAGGATTAGGGCAGACCAGCCAAAAGTGCTGTCATTCAGCTACTATGTGTCTTTCCAGAGTTCCAAATGAAGATGGAATTGCCAGCACACAGGCAGCACTGGGACTCAAAGATTCACTGGGAGTCTAAATGCTTTAGAAGTGGTTTTTTAGCTCTTGCGTCTTGCAGCTATTTAATGTTTGCATAGGAAATTCCAGATGGGTGAGAGAAATGTAATCATCTGCCAATGCTCAAATATGGGATTCTCTGCTGAAGTTATTAAACTCTTACCTTTATCTCATGGACAGCATGCCAAAGGAGACAGCAATTGCAAAGTGCAGATGATCAATCTATTTCTCCATGGGAAGATAAAGCAGTTATTTAGGCAATTTCAGGCATGGGCAAAACAGGTCCAATAAAAATGTATCAAAAATCTGGAAAACTGAAATTTGAACTTTGAATTCAGTAACATTCTTGCTTTGTTTGAGGTCTGGTAGAGGGGTCACTTAAAAAAAAAAATATTTCAAATATGTCTGTGCTTCCTGTAAGTATAAAATGTGACAAATCATTAAACTTCTGATCAAAATATAGAAATTGTCCCATCTGCTGGGGTACTGCTGTGGAAGGTCACTTTGAATTAGAGTGAACTTTACACTGGTGGTTTCAGAGAAATCCTCCCTCATTTGTTGTGGCCAGAGCACACTCATACATACCTATCCCAGCTTGGGCATGTCTCTGGGAAAAGGACTCTCCCACGCCTGAGAACTTGGAATCCTGAAGTCAAAACATCGGCTTTAAGACCCCCTGCTGATATGGACCACAAAGCAGACTATGTCTAGAAAGTGTTTTGTCCTTTCTGGTTTCTCAGGGAAAAAAGAGAGCAAGACATCTGAAAATAGTATGTGGAAATCTTGGAAAACCCCTTGTGTCCCAAAGAATAGACATTTCAAGCTACTTGACTAAAGTGTTTTGACTCTCAGCAAGGTACTTTTGTTCATTAGTTACTGTTTTACATCTTCAGTTTAATTATCAGTACCAACCCAAACAGCCAGGGCCACAAAGTCACCTTGAAAACACCCAGGCTTTCCAAGTGTTTTCCAAGATCCCAGTGAGAGAGATGCCCTGATAATCAAAGGCCATTGGTTCTCCAAAATTTCAGCCCTGCATCACGTGCAGCACCCAACAAAAATTCCACTTCCTACAGTGGGTGAGTGATTTCCAAGGGATCCTCCACATTCACAGAACACACAAGAAAAAAGTCTGGGTCACTAGGTCTGAAGGAGCCTTACTTCTCTTACTGAGAAGCAAAGATTTTGCTCCTCAGTTTGTAATTATTTCCACTGACTTCATGAGCTCAATGACACAGCACAGCTGCCTTTGTGCCTTGACCCAAATGTGAGCGAATGAATGATGTTCTCTCTCAAAAAACATCTACATTGAGTTCCACACATAAAATTTAGCAGAAAATTCTTTGACAGATGCCAGCTAAGAGACATTAAATGAATACTATGGACTGGCTCAAGTACAGCTTGAATAATGGCCCCTTCATGATGTCAGCAAACAGCACAGAACATTCACCAGTGCCAGGAGTAAATAAAACAGCAGAGGAGCAACACCCATTGCCAAACCACCTTGAAATTCACGTAAAAACTCATATTCAGGGAAATGATAGTGATGTATCAGCAGATCTAGCTGAGTAGGTGATGTAAGCACTGATCACTGTTTCACTTTTCAGTGCTGCCTTTCTGTTTTTCCCTACATTAAAAAAACAAACCAAACCTAAGGGCTAAGTACTGCTATTCCCAAATATCATTGTTTCAGCCAGAGAAGTTCAAATAAGTAGGAAGCTTTATTGCATACTGATTTCTCCCTGCCTAGAGGTTGTTTTCAGCTTAGAAAGATCACAGAGAGGGCCTTGATTCATTCCAGTTACAGAAGATCCCAATTACTCTTAGGATTAAAGAGAATGCACAGAGACTGGCAGTCAGAGCAAGCCAGTGCTTCTGGAATCCATTTCCTGGTAGGAATATACATTTCAACCAGCGCAGTTGGATTTGATCAGGTCTTTTCTATCCTTAACAGTTCCATGATCCAATGACCACTGTGCAGTTGCTGGTTTCCACATCTTTTACCACAGGTTAAAGTTATGAATCAACACCCCGAGTGAAAATCAAGTTCTAATCAATGCTGTCTCTCCCCACTACACAAACAGCAGCATAACAGGGCCAGTTACACCCTGCAGGAACATGGGGCTGGAGCAGCAAGAATCTTTGCAGTTAGGAAGAACAGCTACTCCTCAGACTGTTCCTCCCCTTCCATATTCACCTATACATTTCCTTCAGGAATTCCTTCATGTCACTGGCCTCCAGCCTGTTAGATTAACAAACCAGGAATCACAAACTAAGATAGTAGAAAATTAAGTCCTTTGGATCACCAATAACGTGTGGGCTGCTACATAGGATGCTCTGAGGCCAATGACAATACTTAATGTAAGAGATTCCCACCCCCCCACCCAGTTGGAATCCTTGTCTCAAGGGTTTTTAGACACAGAAAGAGAATATTTGTCTCCAAACTTAGGAAAGAATCAGGTGTAATAGGAATCCAGTGGATCACCTTCTTTAAAGGGAACACAAAAGTGTGTGGAAAGAGACTGTCCATTGCTTGGCTGGCTCAGAGTTCCTACGTGATGTCCTTCTTTCTTGGGGGGCGGTGGATGTTCCTCACCACGCACTTCACCATCCATTCAATTCCTTCATTCACCCCTTTGCTAAGGAAATAAGACACAAACAGACAAGGTTTTAGAATAAACCAACAACAAGGAGCAACCAAGAACAGAAACATGGATCATATAGGCCCTAACTGAGCCCTTACATTAGGAAGGGAAGGGCTCTACTCACCCCAGATTTATTTGTTGGCATTTCTGTGTTATTTCTCATGCAGGCAAACAATAAGGATCTGATTTCTTTTAGCTCAGCAATATATATGTATATATATATATAAACACACACCTCCATCCTTTATTTTTCTGGTGTCTGTGCACGTCTACACCCAACTTACTCACCAACTCTGTGGAAATCTTGGGATGAACAAGCATCAAACCCACCTGACAGCTGGTTTGAGGTCATTTTGCCACAAACCTCACACTAGTTGTATAAGCTTTTGCAATCCTGGTTCCAGCTTTCTGTAATCATCTGTGCTGGGGCTGCTAAGCAAGTCACCACCTTGCTGGTCTGCACAGCTCCCCAGACATGACTTCCATGACTTATTTATTCTTTTAGTGCAAGCTCAAACTGGAATTTTGAAAGGAAATTCCACACAGATCAAAACTAAAAGTGTTTGTACAAAAAGAAGAAACCCACAACTGAAAAGGTTGTTTTTCATAAGGTTATTATCTAAGACTTCTTCCAGTCAGTGCTTGAACATTGTTCTTGTGGTCATTCACCTGCTTAGTGGCATGTGATTTGTAGCAATGCGGACAACAGATTCTTTTCACAGTTCAAGAATTTTTTGTTATCCTTTGCAGTAGCTTGTATGATAACGAAGAAAAAAATTCAGAGCTCTAGATTCAGGCAGTAATTCAGCCAAGAGTGTTTCCACCACCTGGAACAAAACTTTTGACTTATGCCAAGTAGCACTTTTCACTTAAAGAACTGAAAGTACAAAGAACCAAAGTACTGCAAGTCTCGATACTCAATAATGATGCTGAGATATCAAGAATCCAGTGGGTTGGTCAAGGTCGTGGCAAGCAGCTGTGTAAGCCCAAATGAGAGTCTGTTTCAGTCATCAGATTTTAAACCACAGGCATTCCCATGTAAGAGGACTCCTGGAGACTGTGATATCATCCCCATCACAAAGCTCATCTGCATGCCAAAGAATATGAAAGCCAAAACATAATTACGGCAGCAGCAGTGAAGCACCATCCATTTATCTGGCAGAGGCATCAACAGCTGCATTTTCAACTAACTTCTAACCTAAAAGCCAGGAGTTGCAGCAAACCAACATCTGCAAGGATTATTGTGTACAGAGAAGGGATGATACAGGACAACAAATATGTCTCCAAGCCCCGCTGCTCTCAGCCAGCAGTACATTTCCACAGTGTTTTACAGGCAGGATTTACAGACAAAGTTACTGAGCTGGTGTAAGTCCAAGGTTCTCAAACAAGTGTCTGTCAGTGTTGGAAGGAAGCACAGTTCCCTTTCAAGGCTTAATAATTCCTGTTGTGCTGCTCTGTGTGTGACAACCCAGAGCTGCTCAAGTCAACCAATTCTCAGTCTACCCCTTCTCATACTCACCCAGTAAGGGCTGAGCAGGCTTGTGTCAGGCAGTCTCTCTTCCCAATCTTGTTAATGCAGTCACTAAATGCTGTCTTGATATCAGGTATTGAGAGACAAGTCTGCAAAGGGAATCAAATTAGAGTCTGTTTGTGCTACAAGACATGGTGACCCTCTTCCACAATGAACCCTACCATGACTGCAGTCCTGCTTCAGTCAGGATGGCAACGCTGGGAAGTTAAACCCACTCATCCACCAACACAAGAAGCTCACCTCTTTGAATTCCAAAGAAATGAACAAATTCTTTTTTCACCAAAGAGAATGCTGTTTGCTGATAGTACACACACTGCCTCACCTCCCTGATCCTTCATCTACACAGTTCTAAACAAATAGTCCTGAAAATGAGCACAACCTGCACCCTTCTAAGGACACCCATTCCAAGCTTCTCAACAGCTTGCATTTACCAGGACACTACAAGAGCTTTAATATTTACAAAGCCTTTTGAAGCAGCGTCCCTGCCATAAGCTCAGCTGACTTTTTGCCAGCATCCTGGGCGCTCTGACAAAACAGGCTGTGATTTTTCCTCAGTTCTCAGCACATTCCTTGGCATTACAGCCATGCCCCACCAGCACTTGTCTGTTTGCATTCAGAGAAAACACTGGCAGCACTGAATGCAGCACGTTTTCTGATGCCTGATGTCACTGAGCTCTTGACCCTCAGCAGGTCCTGAACTTCTGTGAGGCTGCCAGGATGCTGCTGGGAACTGGCACAGCACTTACAGAGCACTGGTTTACTGGGGGACAAATCATAGGCTCCCAGTAAACCAGTGGATTACTTTCCTCACATAAATCATAGCGTCACCACAAAAATCTTAAAGCTACAACAAAAGCAAACTTGCCCAACTAAAGCCTGGACTTGCACCTCCCTGAGCACTCAGTGCCTCAGAAACCTTGGACAAGCTGTTTAAGCAATTCAGCTGGCCACAAGCCCACCTTTCTTCCTCTCTGCAAAGACATTCTGGACCTTCAACAAGTCTCAAATACGTGTTTCAAAAACCTCCAGTCAGGCCCACATACGTGTTTTGGACAAATGTTTACACAAATGCCAAACTGGACCCTTGTTGGTCCTGAGGATTGGCCAAGTGGACGTAAACTCTGAGAGAACAGAAATATGAGAATTAATGTTACCAGCCATCCATTTGCAAAACACTGATTCTAGAGACATTAAATACAGGAAATTTTTGTGGACAACAGAGGTAGATTTCACTGCTTGTACACAGGAGGGGATCTTAAGAAATGGCTTGCAAGTTTAACAAGAGCCAATTCACTCAGGGCCCTTGACTCCATTACTTGCGCAACTTTTAATGACTGTACTTTCTTATGACCTCAGGTGCATTTTAAACTTGCCCTTTCAATCAATGACCTGGAAATTGTATCCAAAAACATTACTGGCATCATTCCACAGAACAATTTAGGTCAGGATTTTTGACAAGTGAAAAATGTGCGGTTCATACAGATAAGCTGTCAGCCACAGGATAAATAGTTAGTTTAAAAAAAAAAGAAGCAACAACAATTAGCAACTCTACAGCAAGTCAGGGAGCTGGAATTCAAACCAGTAGGTCTGGAAGATGGGCAAGAGATTATAACCAACCAACCACTCTCTAGTGGTTTGTAAAAGCTGCTCCCTTAACCTGGTATGGCATCCACTGCCCCATAAGAAAGGCAGGTCCAAATGATTCCCTGTTTAACCCAAAGCTCTGGACAGGACAGTTACCCAACAACTGGGAAGGAGAAGGAGCTGCATGTCAGTAATCTGAGCTATTTTTCACATCTTTGATTTTTTCAAATGAGACTTGGCAGCAGGAAGGTTAAATCTCAAGGCAGCTGAAATTGACAAAATGTTTCTTGAAATACACTTTAAGCTTCTCAGAGTTTAATATAATTATATAATCTTGAGCCTACCCTTTCCTTCTCCTTTTCTGAATTATGACACATTTTAAAATATTTTAAAATAAATCAGATAAAGCATTCAAGATATGAAGTAACAACAGAGAGTACAGTCATGGTGTCCTTGATTCCTCAACTTCTACTTGCACAGGGAGCAAAGCATTCAGGCAATGAACTTCCCAACAGCACCAGCAGACAGGACACCTGCACCTACCCAGTAGCACAGAAAACCCACATCCTTCACCTTGCCCATCCCTGAAGCCTTTAAGAATCCACTTTTCCCAAAGCAGCTGACAATGACAGCCATTTTTATCTCCCAGTATAAACCATTGTTATAACTTCCCTTTCCCACCTTCTGGGAGAGCTGTGGCATGCCCCACCTTCCACAGAGCTGAACAGCCATGGCTTTCCATGGAAATCTGCATCAGAAGGAGTTTTGCTTCTGAGGAGACTGCACCATTCACACTGTCACAGCAGGATATCACTGCATCACCAATCCCATTTTGAGGAACATCATTTTCCCTTTGGGATGAAGTAGAGCAGCACAGCAGAGGGGTAACACCAAACTATCACAGGTAACACCTTGTTTTAGTGTTCCAGGGAAAGCCCTGAACTGGAATCTCATGTGACAGACAGCAGGGGTTGAGGCAGATTATCCCTCACTTCAGCAAGGGGCATCTGAGCTTCTCATGCTCAGGGGAAAATGTCAGCTGTGGCTTCCAAGTTCCCCTTCCCCCAGCCACATTACAAAATATTTGTTTACAGATGTGTTTTGTTTCTCAGCTGCAAACCCATAACCTAAGGGCAAAGAAGGGAAGCTGGATCTGTGATCACATCAACAGTGCTCCATTACAGTAACACAATCCACAGTGACCTTTCAGGAATGATGGTATCTCTCAGCCAATTCACAGGAACCTCACACACAACACATGACGAACCAGATTTCCATCTCAGCTTCCCCAAAATAACACACTGTGGAATTTCTTTTGATGAAGGCTCCTCCAGGCATAATTTAGCCAGGACTGAACCAAATTCCTCCTATGAAGGGTTCAGAATAGCATTACCCAAAGTAAGACTCAGCAATGGCACACCTAAAAATCTATCAAGCAGCAAGGCAAGTTTTAGACAAAAAAAGGTTGTAGAGCCTTTGCCCATTTCCCAAATCCACTGGAGCAAAGATAACACTGCTGCCTGGTCTCCTGTCAGGATAAAACTGGAAGCATGGATAAAACCTCATGTAGAGGCTCTTCAGTCATCTCAAGAGTAATCAGCCATCAGAATGGAACTAAAAAGAAAAACAACAGCAAGGTGGATTGCCTAAATAAAACTATTTCACAAAAAGTCTGACTCACCTGACCTATGCTGTGGGGCTACCCTTTTTATTATGAGTTTGTTTTAAATTAGAATTTAAGCTTCTTTAAATTTAAAGAAGGAATAGTATAGCCTCAATTTAAACCATCTTATTTAAATGAAAACTAATTTTACAGGGAAGCTGTGGTAGGTCTTCAGTTGGAAACTCAAATGGCTTTCATGAAGAAGATCTGTTTTCCGACAACTGTGTGGAAATGAGTATTCTGCTACTCACCATGACTCCTCACATTTTCCAAAGGCATGAGGAGACTTTTCAACATTCTGGAGATTTCAAATTAAATTTCCAAAATTTATCTTTAGATAAGGATGGCAAAACTTCCTCCCAGACGTGGGTCATCATACAGCACCTGGTAACTTTCACATTGTTAAATTTGAGATGCTGTTTTTGATGAGTCATGTTTTGCCAGTATTTTGAATAGTGTGGCATAATGAGCCATTCTGTTCCCAAATTGTAACAGTTCATTGTAGAGCTTAGAAATACATACCTTGCATAAACCTTTCAACAGCTGCATTACCATCAAAACAGCAATTATCAATTCTTATATTGCTGTTTTTTCTACAATAAGCTGTATTTTCAAAAGTGGCATTCTGAGGTGAAAGGGAGTTCACAGGAATTAGATATCAGATGTTTTATTTCTCCTTCAAAGCAATAGTTCCTTTAAAAACCCAAACAAATTCCTTCCTCCAACACACATTTGACTCAGTTTTTAAATTATTTATAAAATAATCCAGTTTTGAAGCCCCACTGAACACAGAGCATTCTCCTGATACCATAAAATATCACACTCAATGTTGTGAGAATTAGAATTGGTGTTTTGCAGTCAATGACCATGTTTTATCCCCTGGAATGACCAAATACCACTCATGCTTGGCCATGCTGAGAGGACACAATGTACTCCAGGAGAATTCTTAACACTTTATGCAATTTCAGGTTGCATCAGCACTTTTGTTATCTTAATAACAGAATGTAAACTTCAAAAACAAACTGTATCAGATATACTATTTCTGTTGTATTTGATCACAAGCCTTCTGCTGGCCTCTATATACATCATCATCAAGAACTGCCCTTCATCTCAAATACCAGCAAGGTTAAGATACCACTTATCCTCCCATATCAGAGGGATGCTGGTGAGAATTTCCTACAACAGTTTTATGTCTGGAGATCCAAAGAAGAAAAATATCTATCAATGCTCATTATCAGTTTTATTCCAGAGGTCTTCCATTCTGCTAAATCAGAGGAAAATAAACAAGTTACTGAGTTTTCTCAACTTCTTTTTTTACGTGAGCCTCAGTAATTACTGAAAAATAAACTATAATCCCCTTAGTGATTATATGTCTTAGCATTGTGTCTCTGCTGGGTCTATATCCAAGATCATTCTGCAGGAGTGGACCTCTAAATATCCAATGCAGGTGTTTCTTACAAGCAGGCAAACCTCCAGTGGGTTTAGCTTTGCTAATCTCTTGCTGTAGCTTGTAGTAGTACACCTGCATGAAGGCACTAAGTCTGTGGGATTGCCTTGGACCCTCCAAAGGGAGCAAGAAGTCAAATTTTCTTTGAAAGCCTGTTCCAAATATCTCTTTCTAGTAATTTAAAGAAGCCCACTTGTTCAATTATTTGTCTTTAGTCTGACTAGAGTGTCAGAACAGCCAGTGTCTGCAGCCTGTAAGAAAATATGTATATACAACCAAAAGAGAAACTGGAATAACTTTCCAGGTCACTGCTTGAAGCTTATCCTCAACAGGTCAAGGCAAGAGTGCAGGCTGCTCCCTGCAGAAAAGCTGTGCGGTTGCACAGAAAAATGTGTGTCAATATTCTGGTTTCCTCAGGAAAAAAGACAGACCATTTCCTCACATTCCAGAGACCACAGTAAAGGCAGGACCATAAATCAGCAGTTCAGTCTTGATCTCATGCTTTTACATGGAATTACATTTCTCTTATTTTTAAGACTAGATAATCTAGCTAAATTAGCTCATCCAAAACCCAATCTATGTTGTACTCATGAAGTGTAACCAAATCCTCACAGCTTTCTTCAAGTACAATCGCTCAGACAAGTGTACAGTCCAGAGGAAGAACATGGGAAGTATTTGCATCCTTTGGAACAGAGACTGATCCCAGCTGCCAGGGCTGGTGTCCCAAATCCTACTGGAAGCCTTTTGCTCCATCTAGAGACGAGTCACTGGAGTTGCAGTCCTGGAATTCCAGGTACAATGTCCAGGTATGATTTCCAGGAGGAAAACACCACGACCACCGTGGACACTCTCTTATCTTTTTTTCCATGCTGGGGGAGATAAGGATGGCCCGGGATGTGTCACCTAAACACTGCACAACCCACAAACTGTGAAATCCAAACCCAGACTTTTACAGTTCTGAATATGCTGGAAAGTACTCAAATGATATTATCAGAAAAGAGCATTCCTTGCAATTCCCTGCTGTCACTGATGGAATGCTCTAAAACAAACAAGTCTTGTATTGAACAGATCTTATCCAGTTATGGGGAAAGGATGATTTGCTTCACATACATCTGCTGTGCTGTTCCTGGGTTTTAGAAGCACAGCATAAACAAAGTGCACTAAACATTGTTCTTTTCTGAATAAACAGGAAAAAACAGTATCAATATAATGAGTCACGATACAAGTAAGAACCACCATAGTTATGCAGTTTGTTCTGTTTACATAAAGAGTTCAAAACTATGTGCCTGTAAGAAGCTCATTCATGGCACTGAAAAAGGGCTGGAGAAGAAAGAAAAAGAATAAAACTAAATTCAAAGCAATTATTTCCAGCGGAGGGAAAGTACCATAGGATCAGCTCGGGTCTGTGGAAAAAATTTAACATGAACGAAGAGTTCACCTTTCCAAGGCTTATTAGCTCATTTATGTAAATCCTCCCTATTTTACCTCTACATCCTGCTTGTTGGCCAACACCAGAATGGGAACCCCTTCCAGAGCTTCACTGGTGATCATCTTCTCTACAAAGGACAGAAACAAAACTAGGTTTAGCCAGTTCTGGAAGTTGTACAAATGCCTGGCCCAGATTATCTGGACAGAGGGATGAAGCCAGAGCTCCTTCTTGCATTACAGTTTCATTTGGTACAATCTTTCAGGTCTATTTTGTTCACACTGTACTTACCAAAAGCTCTTTTGGACTCAGAGAGCCTCTCTTCATCGGTGGAGTCAATAACATATATCACCCCATGAGATTCAGCATAGTACTGGAAGGAGAACATAGATTTTAGTGTCAATCCACTAGGATCACTTGTTCCTCTTCCTGATTTTAATTTGGTACAGTTTTGGTACTTGTGAAGAACATCAACCAGTTAGAGATAGCTGTATCCACAGTGTGCCTGGACAGAACGGAGGCACACAGCCTGTGCTGCCTGTTCTGCTTGCAGGCCTCAACACTCCGTGTGGAAAAGCTCAGCTGTGTGTCCCCAAAGCTTATCTCTATGGCACAGCCCCAGATTTGGGTTGGTAATTGCTGTCTATAACCAATAATGCAAATAGTAAGCACAGAAATAGTGGAATCTCTGAAAAAGTGTTAATGTTAAATACTGGCGTTATCAATAAGCCTATATGATTACCAAACTGTGTGATTGTAGTGGTTCAGCTCTAAAAGAGACAAAACCAATTCTAAAAGAAATCATGGAATCACAGGATGGTTTGTGTTGGAAAGGGCCAACCATCTCCTTCCAACCCCCTGCCAGGAGCAGGGACACCTCCCACTGGATCAGGCTGATTAGAGCTCCATCCACTCTGGCTTTGAACACTTCCAGGGATGGGGCAGCCACAGCTTCTCTGGGTAAACTGTATAAATCAGATAAAACAAAACCACATCTCTAACCTTGTCCCAAAGTGACTGCAGCTCCTCCTGCCCGCCAAGGTCCCAGAACATCAGCCGAGTTTTGCCAACATCAATAGTTCCAACTAGAAGGAAGGAAGGGCAATCCAATGAAAACCACAGAAAAAGCACAGACACCTGCACACCCCACTCAGAAATCTGGGGTGGGACAGGCTTGTAGGGGAACTAATCACAGGCAGTGGCTACTTGCAACAACAGAGCAACACCTACAAAGAGCAATCATAAATATAGAGCAGTATCAGTGAAAATAATTCCAGAATTGGGCCAAGGAATTAACTCCAGGGAAATACAGTTTGAGGACAGCACTAAAATAGGATACCTGGAGTTTTAATACTTCAGGAGTTTCTCCTCCTAACCTAAGAAGGATTTTATTATCTACAACCTGGGCAGTTGGAAGATACAATCTCTGTGTCCAGGAACTGTTCTGCCCTTCTGAATTCTTAAACATTTCAAACAAAACACAGCTGTTGACTAACTGCAAGAAAGCTGAAAAAACTCCACATGGATTTACTTACTGTTTAAGCCTACAGTGGTTGTGATTTTGGACAAACTCATCCCTTTGTAATTCTTGTTAAATCGGGTTTTAGTTTGCTCAAGGAAGGTCTGAAAATGAATAGAACACAATATTTACTGTCAAACATTTTACTGGCTGGGGCAATTCACCCCAAACCTGCCTTTTCATTTCTGCACAATCCTGATAAAGCAGATCCTGCCCTACCTAATTTTGGACACACCACTCTTCTTGCTCCCTATTTTAGCAAGAAAAGAAGGGATCATAGGTGATTATGGGATTACCAAAGCCTCAGCCACATCCCTGAAAGCTTGTACTAAATTTAAGTAATGAGGAAAAGTTGACTGTTTGATGTGACATCACTAAAGTAACTCAGGACACAGCTGAAGAAAGATTGACCCTCGTAATAAGATTTATCCTTGGAGGATGTTTAGGATTGTGTTTGCCCTCCACAGGGTGATAAACAGCACTTACAGTTTTACCAGCATTGTCCAAACCCAGGATCAGGACACAGTACTCATCCCTCTGGAACATGTATTTATAGAGCCCTGACAGTAGTGTATACATCCTGCTCCTGCAACAAATGCCAGGAAATCAATTAACAAACAGGTCATTCCCAAAAGCCTCTCATGCCACAACACAAGTTTTTCCCGACGCCAGACAAATAAATGATGTTAGTCTTTTATCAGTAACTCTCATATTTAGACAATCCCAGGGAAAAAAAACCCCACAGATCTAAGAGAGATCATGAAAATAGCTCAAGATCAAATTTGGGGTTTAAAGGGGAACACCTTGAAGGACCTGAACACCTCTTGCAGTAAATGTAAGACCCACAGAAAATGAAGTGAACTTCATACAAACACAAAGGTATTTTGAGCAAGAATCTACAGAAGCTCACACCTGTTTTTTTGTGGTGCTGGATTTGCACACACAAGGCAGAGCAGCTTTGCTGGGATGCAGAAGCACCGGCACCAAGGGCTGCAGCTGACTCACATGCCATTGCAACAACCCTTCTGTTCACACGCAGATAAAGGGAACCTCAAGGCAGAGCCTTTGAGAGGCAGCAGCCTCTAAGCAAGTGCGTGGTTGAATAACCACTTTGAGTCAAACACCATTACCTAAAGGGAAATAAAAGCGTTCCAAAGCGGGAATAGGGGGTTTCACGGTAAGGGAGGACAAGGCACCTAAGGGCTAGGGGCTTCAATGCCACAGCTACCGGGGCCACCCTTCGCCTCCAGCTGTGCGAGAGCGGGGGCTCCTGCCGTCCCCCGGGGGAGCCCCAGCCCGCTCCCCTTGCAGGGCAGCGACTGGTCCCGGGCGCGCCCGACCGCCGGCCTGCTCCTCCCTAACCAGGGAGATCCTCCCGGACCCGGGAAATCCCTCCAGATCCAGAAAATCCGGGAGATCCGGCCCTTTCCTTCCCTGCCACAGCCAGTGACGGCTGAAGGGGAACACCGGCCCTACCGCCATTTCCCCCTAATGGCCCAGCGCCACGTCCCGGGCCAGCGACAGGTGCCAGGCCAAGCTCCCGAGCGCAGCAGGCGAGAAGAAGAGCCCCGAGCCCGAGGCCCGCGGCCCCTCACCTGGTCCTGGTGCCGGTGTCAGGGTCGGAACCGGAGCCGGAGCCAGCTCTCACGACTCCCCAGCGCCACCGGCCGCCGCCATTCCGCGCCCGGCCCTCTGGGAAATGTAGTCCTGTCGCCGCTGCGACGGCGCTGCAGAGGGGGTCTGTGGACTACAACTCCCAGAACACCCAGCGCCGCTGGCCTCCCGGGGACCCCGAGCGCTCGAGCGGGTGACGCGCTGGCGAGCGCAGCCGGAAGTGGGGGCGCCGCGGCCGGAAGAGGGGGTGTCATGGCGGCTGTCGTGGCGGCGGCTCGCAAGGGCCGATGCGGCTAAAGGCGCAGTGGGGCCGCCGAGGTGGCAGTGGCGGCTCAGGGAGGTGCTGCAGCCTTGAGGCTGAGGGAGCGCCCAGGCTGCGGGAGGAGCGGTGCCGTGCGCGGGCCCGGTGGGCGAGAGTGGACCCCGTGGCGGGGGAGGGCCCGGCCTCTCCTCGGACTCTCCCGTCGCCTCTTGTCGCCTGTTTGCAGCAGGAGCATCGCCCTGGTGATTTCCGAGGGAAAGAGCGGGACGGAGGGTAGATGACGTTTCTGCCAGCGGGGACTTGTTATCCAGAAGTGCTTGAGTAAACTCTGAATGTGTTTTGAGTTCGTGGAGAGGACGCGGGCAAAAGCGCCTTTCTTGTGCTGAGAATGGATGAAGAGAGTCTGGAAGCAGCGATCCAGACCTACAACGCGCAGCTGGAGCAGGTGGAGCTGGCGCTGGGGGCGGGCCAGGACCCATCGCAGCAGTCCGACCTGATCCAGCTGCAGGAGGACTTGAAGCAGCTCATAGAACTGACCGAGTCGAGCCTGGTGGCTGTGAAAAAGAGCAAACTTCTGGCCACTTTGGACACAGATGCCTCCTCCTCCTCCCCAACGGGTCTCCCAGGGCAGGATTCCCACCTGGAGAGCTCTGCCCAAGATGAGGAATACGCTGCTTTTAAGGAAGCCATTGCTGGGCTTGGAACAGATGAGGAGCCTCCAGCTGGTGACAACGAGATCTCCTCGGAGAGAGAGGGAAAAACTGGGGATAAAACCAAATCAAAGTGCAGTGAAGAGGAGGACGAGTCTGAGAGAGAGGAGGAGGAGGAGGAGGAGTTGAGTGGGATGAAGGTTAAAGCCCCCTACTACAGCTCCTGGGGGACCCTGGAGTACCACAATGCCATGATTGTGGGGACAGAGGAGCTGGAGGATGGCAGTGCAGGGGTCAGGGTGCTCTATCTGTACCCAACCCACAAGTCCCTGAAGCCGTGCCCGTTCTTCCTGGATGACAAGTGCAGATTTAAGGAGAACTGTCGGTAAAGAGAGAGGGGTGGGAGGGGCCTTGTCCTTCGGAGGGATTAAACCTCCTCCAGAAGTGCTCTGTGTGGTTTTCTCAGGCAGGGAAATTGTGCCTTAACGTTTTTAAAACGTGCTGTGGTGAGCAGTGGCATCAGTTTGGCTGTTTTCTGTAGCTAATGCACAGATGAAGTGGAAAATCCCATGGGAAAGCTGCAAAGATGTTACATAGCTGAGTGGATAAATTAACAACTGATGAAGTATTTTAAAATAAAACACCCAAGTCTGTGGATAATGCACATATTCCTGTTGCACAGGGAGGTTTTATAGGCTCTGGTTTTGGGCATCTTCACCAGGATCAACCCCAGGATGGGCTGGAGCCCTGCCTGTCTCTGATCCTGTTTATCCTCAAAGCCATGAACTTTTTAATTGGATGTGTCACTAGCAAGGAAGTTTAATTCTCTGGGGTGGGATGCATTCTTTGTTCTATGGCATAAATAATGTGTTTAAGGTGAAACATGAACAACTTTCCAATTGCAACAGCACGTGGTCAAACTTCCCTAGTTATGGTGGAGGTTCCTCACCACTGACACTCACGTGCATTCCTTTTGAGGAAAGAAGGGATTTTCATTTGAAAACTCCTCTTCCACCTTCCCTGCAGGTTTTCCCATGGTCAGGTGGTGTCCGTGGAGGAGCTCCAGCCGTTCCAGGAGCCCGACCTGAGCAGTCTGGGGGTGGGCTCAGCCTGCCTGGCCAAGCACAGTGATGGGATCTGGTACACGGCCAAAATCACCGGTGAGGGGGGACAGGGACTTTGCCGGGGCCCAGGGGGAAGGTGGAGGCTGAGCTTTAAGTGGATCTAAAACTTGGCTGTTGTGGTTAATGACAGAAAAACTATGTGGCTGCTGCCCTGAACTCTTGACATAGCTGAGGAAACAGCCTGAGTTTTGTCAGGCTAGAGAAGGCAATTGACTGGGAAACAGGAGCTACAAAGAGCAAAAATGTGGAAAGGAAATGACTACGAGGTCATTAACTGGTAATGGGAAGAGGGAGGGACTGCAGGAATTTACATGTATATTAGGTGACAATTGCAATAATCTCGTTTTGTTTAAACAAAAACCAGGGGAGCTGGCCCTGCCCAGCAGCTGCTGATACCGGCTTCCCTCTGTTCTGGGAAGAGGGACGGTTTATTGCCTCTTTCCATCTTTCTTTTAACTGTTATTAAGTCAGAAGGGAGCAAGTCTAACTTCTTTTTAATTCCATTTCTCAACAGCCCATCTGTCTTGATTTGTACAGATAAATTTTGGGTGTTAACACAGGCATTGTGGAAATAGCTTTTTATTGCAGTGGGTGCTTCTCCCTCCCAGACAGAAATAAAAATCACAGATTAAACCCAGAATTGTTTAGAGCTGTTCCTTGGGCCTCCCCCCTGTGTCATTCTGCTGGAGCTGACTCTGCTTTAACTCCCTGTGTGCTGGAGCTCCTGTCCTTGCTGTTCCCTCTGCAGATGTGGACAGTGGTTACTACACGGTGAAATTTGACTCCCTGCTCCTCAAGGAGGCCGTGGTGGAAGGGGACAGTGTCATTCCACCCCTGAGAAGTGAAGATGCTGCTGAATCTGGCGAGTCTGATGAAGACAGTGTGGATGATTCTGGTTATGCCAAAGGTAAGGCACTGGGGAGCAAAAGTGACTTGGGATTTTGTTTTGCTTTTCTCTAGGACCAGCTGACTGTCCTGGAGCTCTCACTCTGAGTGTCTCACCTTTGATGAGAGCAGTTGATCTCTTTGTGTTCCTGAAAGATTGAGAACAGTAACTGGCTGTTATGCTATAACTGCAAGCTAAAATCTTTGTTTTATGCAAATCCCTGGGCTAATGAAGGCTGGAGGTTTCCATGGGAACTTCCCACACGTGGAAGAAGAGGGTGTGATATTTTAGAGTTCTAAGCTCTGAGCCTGTTTCTGACATGTCTGGCTGGGCTGAGTTAAGAAGTGAATCAAGTTTTCTCATCCCTGGGAGCTCCATGACCCAGGAATGTGAGACCCAAGGAAATGGGAGTGTCGGGTCCTTCTGGTGCCTGGATGAGGCTGCAGGAACAGCCATGTCCTGTTCTACTGCTGAAAGGTGACACAGAGAGTGCCCAAGTGACTTCCTGGAAGTTGCACAGGCAGCACTGTCCCTCTGGTGGTGCCACAGCTGCATCACAGGACAAACTCATGTCCTAGAGCTCTTTACATTTAACCTGACAGTGATTATTGGATCCTAATAACACAAAATTAATGCTGTGGCCTGGAGTAGCCCCATACCAGAGACAAGAGCTGAAGGCACAGGAGAAGTATTAGGTGCCACTATGCCGAATTCTACTCAGATGTGTACATTAGTCTGTATTTTCATCCTGGAAGGAAGGAAAAGAATCATAAAACTCCTGGGTGATTCTGCCTGGAACTGGGAGGTGGTATGTGCATTAGATCAAGTGAAGCCTCACATTTCAGTCATTCCATGTGCAGTGTTTGTGGAAGGGAACAACTCAATAGGAGCTAAGGAAGGCTGGAGGCATGACTAAATGCTTTTAAAATTGGAGAAGTGAGTTGTACTGTCCTGTAAGGGATGCCCCACACAGCAGCTTTATTCACCATTACTGTTTCACTGATTCTCCTCTTCTGTTCCACAGTGATAGATTCAGGGGTTCCAGAGAATGGGGAATGGACCCCTGCCTGCAGCTCCTCTTTCGGTGGCTGGGAGGCCCATACTCGTGGCATTGGCTCCAAACTGCTTGTTCAGATGGGATATGAGTTCGGAAAAGGTAAGGGAGAGGGTGCTCCTGGGACTCTTAGGAAAAACCCAAGATTTTAGATGAAGCCAGAACTTTGCAGTGCTGAAGGGCCACTTGGCTGGGGCTCAGGCAATGTGCTAGATCACAGCAGTGTTGGAGGGAAGAGGGATGGGTTATTTCATGGAAGTGCAGGCATGTGGGGCACCAGCCCCTGCATGGTAATGGCAAACAGCAGAGGCACTTGGGAGCACGGTTGAGTTCATGATCAAAGCCGTGAGAATGCTGTGGAGTGTTCAGAAGCTGGAGGTGGAAGGGAGCTGATCTGCAAAGCTTCTGATGTCTGTGTTAATGCATCTCCTGGCCTGGACACAGACTTCAAAGCCTGCTGAACTTGCTGCTCCCACCCAAATTGCATCCAGCCTTGGGGGCTCTGGGAGGGCCTCTGTGTCTCCTGTTCTCCCAGAGGAACCAAACCAGTTTTAAGTAGAACCTGGTTTGAGAAGCTGAGGATGTGAGGCTGAACCTGGTTTCACAGAAACCGGCCTGACAAATGGCCTCGGGCTTGGAATCACAAATCTCCTGCTGTGGAAGCCTCCTGGCCTGGCCTTTGCTGGTCCCTTTGTCCTGGGCAGAATTTCTAACTTTGGGTACCTCAGAAGCCTCTTTGCTTGTTTTAAGCTTGTGACTGTCAATGGGAGCTTGTGGTGGGAGGTGACTCAGAGAGGGAATGCTGTAATCACTCGGAGTCTTTCCTCAGGCTTAGGGAAGAATGGTGAGGGCAGAGTGGAGCCAGTGCAGGCTGTGGTGCTTCCTCGAGGGAAGTCCCTGGACCAGTGTGCTGAGGTGCTTCAGAAGAAGAAGCAGGGGAAGCTGGAGCCAGGCAAATCGAGGAAGTGCCGAGCAAAGGGAAGCGACTCTGGACAGACAGGCGGCCGTAAGGCCCCGCGCAATGTGTTTGACTTCCTGAACGAGAAACTGCGCGGGAAGAGCGCTGGGGACAAGGCTGGGGGGATGGCTCTGCCCCAGAGGAACAGCAAAGAGATCTACCACGCCAGCAAGAGCACCAAGAAGGCCCTGAGTGTCAGCCTCTTCCAGACCACAGAGAAGATTGAGCAAACCCAGAGGGATATCAGGGGAATCCAGCAGGCCCTGGCGCGCAACATCGGGCGGTAGGAAAACGTTCTTTGGGATCAAGTTTGTGGTGCTTCTGGAGAGGGGTGGGCTTGAAATGAGATGTGGGAGGAACAAGTGAAGTGTATCTGGGTGGGACTTAATGGGAAGTGGAGGAGAGAGTTCAGTGTGTGCTTCAGGCCAGTGTGGACACTGGCAGATGTGTCTGGGGTCCTTTGTGTGGAATTCAGGCTCTGGCAAAGAGAGGAGCTCTCTGAGGAAATGTGCTGGAGTCCTTCTCGTGCCCACCTCTGCAGCATTGCTGTTGAGCATCCCAGGAGGACATTTTCTAGCCTAGATAGTGCTGAGCATCAGGTTATTCCTGGCTTTCAGCAGGTCCCTTGGGGTAATCCTACAGGAAAGGGCAAACCCCCCTGGGATGGAACAAGCCTGTGATCTTACTGTGCTGGATGACATTTCTACTGTGCTTTTTGCTTTCAGGCACAGCATTGCTGCAGCTCAGCTGGAGGAAAAGCTGGCTGATGCTCACAAGCAGCTGGGGCAGCTGCAGGCCCAGGAAGCCAGGCTGCAGCGGGAGCAGAAGAAAGCAGACACCCACAAGAAGATGACTGAATTCTAGGTGCTGAGGAAGGTGTTGGACTGCAGGAGATGTCTTTCCAGTGCTCCTGGCCTCAGAGCCTCGGTGAGCTGTCCTGCTCAGCTGGGCCTCAGGCTGCCCAGCCTATAACTGGGCAAAAAAGCAGCAGTTTCTGGATGCTTCTGAGCTCTTCTGGGAGGGGAAGGAGTGCACATCCGTCCAGCCCCAAAAGCATTCAGTGAGCTGGGCCTTGGATGAGGCCTAGCTACAAGGAATCCAATTCTCTGCTCTCTTGCACTCTTCTTTCCTTCATTTTCCCTGCACTAGCAGCTCCATCCAGAGTCTGTGGGTGCTCAGGTGACAACACTGCTGGCTACAAACCAGCTGAGGGGGCTTGGACAGCCCCACATCCTGCCATTAACTGTGGCTTCTGTCTGTGGCCACCTGCCAAGCTCAGGTGCAGGTAGGGTCCTGACCATGGCTGGGTGAAAACATCAAAGGTCAAGTGCTTTAGCTGCTCTCTGCCTTCTATTTTTACTATGGGATTTGTCTGAGAACTCCATTTTTGGAGGGGAGCAGTTCTTTGTAGTCTGAGTGTAAGGAAGAGACAGAAAACTGACAGCTCAGAAGTGGGAACCGGTAGCCTGGAGCATCAGATTTCAGCAGTTTGACTGTAAGAGTATCCCAGGCCATGCTGTAGCCAAACTCACTGGCTTGGCATGGAAAGCTGCCTGATTCCACAAGTGGAGTGCCATAGCTGGGGGAATAAGCCAGCAGCATAATGAATTTCCAAATCTCCTATCCAGGAACAGCTCCACAGGGAACCTTGTGATTTTTGCCACCATTAGTTGGGTTTTTCTGTCCAGGGTGGCTCACTGACCATGGGTCCTTTTACTAAAAAACCTCAGGACCCTGATCCAGGTTGGGCTGGGCCCTGGATGAGCACAAAGAGCAGGTTCTGTGTGAGCCCAGTGTGCAGCACTGCAGTGGGAGAGCTTGGGGCTGGGCTGGAAGCAGGCCAGGCAAGCCAGATCCTCTTCCCTGCAACGTGGGAAGTGTTTGGACAGGAAGGATGTCCTCTCCCCTTGGTTACATTCTGTGTTGGTGGTGGCCAGTCCTTGCCTCACAGGAGATGCTGGTTTCATCATCTGGTGGGATTTCTGCATTGTAAAGGCTTTTTTTTAAAAAAAAAAATAAAATTAGCAATTCATGCCAGTATCTTAAGTACACCAATTATTTTTAATTTAAGGAACCAATTTCCTTTTATTCTGGGGGTAATTTTTCTAATGAAGAGGTTCCTGTAGTACCCCTTTTTTTATCTATCCCTAAGAAGAGATTAAAAAACAAGCTGTCAGCCTGGGCAGGGCTGTGCCTGCTTGCAGGGTCAGGCTGCCAAATGAAGAAGAAAATCTGAGACTGAAGAAGATACGATCAGAGCTGTTCAGGTCTTGTGAGATTTCACATTGCTACAGACACACCTCAGAAATGCAGCGAGACAGCAAAACCAAACAAGATGAACATCTTCAGGAAACCTGTGGGAATGAGTCTGTGCTCCTGAAGAGTACCTGGATCATGCTGTGATCCTCGTGGATGTGGGAGGTGTCATGGGCTGCCTCAGGCACTTGAACAATCATAGGTCCCTATTGGAATTGGCTGGACTGTCCTCATTGTTCTGAATTCGTGCTCTCCACACACGGGGCTCAGCTCAAGGGTTTAACAATGGCCCTTCCCTCACAAATGACTGTTTGTTTCTCACACTCGAGTGCTGAGTGGTGACAAGGATTAATGTACCCAGTTTAGTGTGAATGCTCTCCATGGCTGGAGAGCTGAGCTGGGCAGAGAAAATTTGGGGGTTTATTTTGAGATTTTATTTTGGGGGTTTATTGTCTGAGACTGTTATCATCATCTCTTGAGGAACTGAGGTGTATGAGCCCCGTGTCTTTGCTAAGTCCTATTTTACCCCTTCCTTGGGAACTCCACATCCTGTCTTGTCAGACTCCTATTCCCGTGGCTGCCACCTCCCACCCAGCGCAGTTCACGTCCCTGATGAATAAAGTTGGTGTTTCTTTTTCCCCCTCTCTCCTTGTAAGGCGTTGTTCATTTGCAAGGTAATGATGATCTGGAGCGCCCCATTCCTTCCTTACATTGGCCTGATCTCCCGGAGGAGCCGGGCGGGGAGCGGCTGCGGCAGAGGGTGCTCGTGTGTGCTGGGAGCCTGCGAGCTCAGACCCAGCCTACCCCGGGGTGAAGCCACCACCTCCGAGGCCAGGAAGCTGTGGTGTGTGTGCTCTGTGCCTGCCCGCAGCCGGCTGCTCCTCAGGGAGCAGGAGAGCTCAGATCGGGATGTTTGGAATGTGCTGGAGGCCCTGACTGGGACTTGCTGTGGGATAAAAAAATTAAATTCTCCAGGCTGGCCGGCAAGGAAGAGAGCATGATTGGATCCCTGTGCTCCACACTCAGCGGATTTTGAGTTCCTGCAAGTAAGTGGTGGTGGCTTTCCTGCCTGGGAAATGGGGAATCTGCAGCTAAACTGGGGGGGAAATACTTTAACCGCCCCCCAAAGAATATAGAAGTCACAGCACTGTCAGAGATGCTCTTGGGGCTGGATGGACTGGACAGGCAGGATTCCTGCTCTGCTCTGGGAAGCCTCAGCTGGGTTCAGCTTTGTGAGTTGGGCTCCAAGCTGTGTTATTCTATGATTTGTGCTCTGCAGCTAGGCTTGAATGGGAAGAAAAGGTGGTGGAGCTTGGCAGTGCTGCTGGGATCCCATGGCTGGACTCTGGGGGCTGAGTGGGAGCCAGTTGCTTTCGGGGTGGATGAATTCAGTTCAGAGATGTGTGGCATTGTGGAAATTTCGAGTTGTGTTGTGGGGAGTGGGACAGGAATATTGCCTGTGTGTGCAGTGGGGAAGTGCTGACCTCCTGTCTCTGGGTGAGGAGGCTTGAGAATGTGGTCACTGAAATGCTGTCTTCTGAAAACCTAAGATGATGTAAAAGTAGTGCATTTGTGGCAAGGAAAACCACTGTGGCAGGTGGCTCTCGAGAAGGCACACCTCCTTAGTACAGCCATCCTGAAGTTTGGAATCTGGCTTCCCATAACAGCAGCTCCGAGCTCTCTGCTGGTCTCCTGCTGTGGCTCAGCTCTGCAGAAAAACCTCTCGAGCTGGTTCTTGCCTTAGAAGAGCATTTTTCTGCCCAAGTGAGTGTTCAGCAACCAGGGAAGGGCGGGAAGAAAGAAAAGTGCTGAAATGGTGTCAGCCCCGAGCAGAGCAGTGATGTGGGCTGACAGTTACTCACCCGAAGGTTTTAAAGTTGTATTTTCTCAAAAGCCCCTCCAGCATGTGAGCAGTGATCAGAACTGCAGCTAGAAGTGTGTATCCAAGTTTTCAGACATTTGGGTTTAGAAGTATGGTTGTCACTTGCTAAATGAAAAGCCCCTGGAGGTGTTTGACCATGAAATCTCATTACAGAGGTGAGCAAAGTAGGTGAGATCTCATGCCTGCTTTTTTGAAATAGTCTTAAAATTCACTAATTGCACCCCATGGTCCAGGGCAGATTCAGTGTCGTGACTGACTCTAAACAGAGCTTTCACTTTTTGTAATTGAAAAGAAAAAAATCCATCTACTTCTGCTTCTTGGGCCTTTTTTGAAGCACAACTCCCTGGGGTACCTGAGCAGAGTTCGCTGCAGCTGTGTGCACAGTTGCTGATGGAAATCAGCTCAAAATGTTCCTCTTGGTTTTGTGCAAATAGGCTTTGAGTAGCTTCGAAGACTGTTTTTTTCTTGCCACCCTGCACTGAGCCCTGTGTGGTTTTATCTGGGGAGATGAATCAGAGGCCAGGCAGAATCATCAGCAGCAGCACTTTGTTTTGCAGTGAATTTAATCTTGCTTTCAAGAAGCCCAGATGAGGAACTTGCACCTTTTTTAGGACTCACAAATAACTCCCATGTCCTGGAGTAGCAACCCTTCTGCCTTTAGGGTGCCTGTGCTCAGGTGTCACACAAGGAGGGGAGGTCCCTGCTCAGAGGGTGTGGGTGTTGTCACAGGTACTCAATGGTGGTAACCACCCTCGTCTTCAAAGCCACCTGGGCTGGCAGAGCCAGTGCCTTCCCAAACGCTGCCAGCTGAGTCTCCTGCCCCGGGGAGCAGCCCCAGGACTGGGAGATCGATAACTTTATTGGCAGGAAATTCAGGTCTAGGTTTCAGAAGGTCTGGCTGAGACTTTGCCTTGCAAACCTGCTCAGTCCTACCTGAGCGTCTTTAGTCAGGCACCGAGTTCTGCTCACAAATCTGTGATTTTGGGAGACTCAACGTGTTGTCCCAAGAGGTGGCTTCTCCCAGAGACTGCTGAGCCTGAGCACTGAGGAGCATGCCCTGCACAGTTTCACTGGTCAGAAAACCTGGAGCAGCCACTGACCTGCTCTACAGAAAGTGGGCCAGGAGAATTTCTCTGCATTCATTTCTGCTCAAGGAAGTCTCTCCTTTCAACCTTCAAAATTCAGAGATGGAAAATCCCCCTGCTGTGGGATAAGCTGCCCCTTGTGTGCCTGCCTCAGCATGCTGAAAGCTCCCACCTCGATTCCAACGCCACACCAGCTCCCGGCTGTCAAACCTCGTTAGAACTTTGTCTGCTCCACTCCAGAGCCTGCTCAGCTCTGCCCTGGCCCTGCAGCCCGTGATTCCATCACTCTAATGAGCTGAGGAGCTCCAGGCTCTGTCTAACGCACCGGCCCTGTTGCAGGTAATCCGAATAATTAAAGTATGCTCAGACAGAAAAGCTGTGTTGTCTAATTAAAACGTCGTTGGAAAGGGAACAGCCTCCCCTTCCCAGCTCTGATCTAAGCCAGTCTGTCCAGCCCGGTTAGTCCTTAAAACCTCTCTGTCTCACTTTCTACCTTGAAATAATTGCTCTCCAGGGTTCATGCTTCAGTCAGGGCAGTTTCCAAAGGCATGGGAAGTTCTTAGATAAAAGGATGCTCTCAGATAAAAGGGTGCTGCAAATGGACAGAGACCTTCTGGTTATTTGGGTTAAAATGTGCCAGAGTGGCTGCTGTGTGACCCAGGGTGCAGGGGAGAGGGGAGCTCCTGTGGGTCTGCAGTAGCTTCTGAGATTTAAACAAGGCAGGGTGGTTTCTCACCAGAGCTCATCTGGGCTTTGTCATCCGGATGAAGATATGCAAGAGGGTGAGAAAGAGGTGCTCGGCATGTCCCGACAGATCACTGGCTTCCCATCCGTGCTGGTGGAAGCTGATCCTGCCCAGCTCTGCCCAGGGACCCTACTGCTGGCCCCATCTGGATCACCGACTGTGGCTTCTTGAAGCTGTGTTTTGCTCTAGGAACTGCCTCCATCTCTTTTCAGATCAGGCATTTCCTGGGTGCTTTTTTTGTAGAGCAGGGTGCACAGAGCTGAGCTGTGCAGAGCTGGGAGCTGCAGCCGCCATCCACGCCGGAGAAGGTGAAGGGGTGCCAGCTTTTGCTCTGGGCTTGCAGCAGTTTGGCTGGCAGAGGGGCAGGGATGGGGATGGTGGCGTGGGAATGATGGGACAGGGGTCACCAAAAGCCTCCAGGGGAAGGGGGTGATCCTGACAGGCAAGGGAGCATCCATGCTTTGTGTCAGGCTCCCCAGCACCCTCCTGCCCCTGCACCGCTTGCTCTGGCTCTGCCGCTGCTGCAGTTTGCAGGGGATGAATTTTGCCTTGAGGAAAGCACAGGGACAAGGGCTGGGTTTGGGTGAGGCACAGCTTTAGGCAGAGGAAAATGGTGGGAAGATTGTGTGTTTTCTGCTCTGGTGTCACAGCAGACAGGCTGCAGACCTGGTGTTGTTGTGGCACAGGGAATGTGGGGTCTGTGTGAATCCATTGCAGAAGGAGGGTGTCCTGGTGCGTTCTGCTGAGCCCAGGGCATGAGGAGGGAGAGGAAGGAGATGCTGAAGCTAACCCTTTTTCCAGGAAATTGAGTCATCCTGCCTGTCCTTACTGGCCTCTGGAGCAGTGTTACCCCCATCCCACAACCTGGGGTGGTGTCCCCAGAAAGCACTCTGTCATTTTCAGGGTGTCTCCAGAAGGTTTTCATGGCTCCTGGGCATCTCCTTTTCACCATTTCAGTGGCAACTTGTGAGCTTGAATCCCACTGGTTTTGTTGGATTGTTTTTTTCAAAAGGAACCAAAAACTGAATTTTTCCCTGGTGGTGGCAGAGCACCCACTGCCAAGTGTCCACACTGGGCTGGACATTGGAGGTGTTATGGTGACTCTGGGGACAGCAGTCACTGGGCAGAAAATGGGACACCTGGTGAAATGTCCCTGTCCAGAGCATCCAGAGGGACCCCTCTGCTGAGGGACTGTGCTGCAGAGGTTGCAGAGCACCATTTCACGGCATGGTGAGCCCAGCAGCTCCCGGCTCAACTCCAACTCATGTTCTCTCTCCTCAGAGCTCAGCCCTGCAGTGGTGCTGGCAGCGGCTCCCCCATGGCTGCAGCCAGCGGCGAGGGGACAGCAGGGACCCGGCTCCTGCCAGCTGGCACTGCCCTGGCCCTGCTCGGTGGCCTGGTCTACCTGGGCACCCTGTGTGCTGCCTGTAAACGGTATGTGCTGCCCACTGCTCCTCCACTTTCCCTCCTGGGGCTGGGATGGGGCTGGGGATCCCTCGGTGGCATTTGGTGGCTGCACATGGAGATTGTGTGCAGCCATCCTGAGCTGGGACAGGGGGGATCTGCTGCTCTGCTCTCCCCAAGCCCACCCTGCGCCCCAGTGCAGCTCTGCCTGTCTTGATCCTGCATCCCTGGAACACCCCCTACACCCAAAAACCTCAGAGGAGCAGCCAAGAGAGGGCTGAGCTGTGAGCAGGGTGGGCAGTGCCAGGGGCAATGCCGAGGAAGGTGCCTGTGATGCCCTGCACAGCTCACTGGGGTGCAGGATGCAATTGTGATATCCCCAGCCAGCACAGACCCTGCTGTGGGGCTGGGGAAGGAGAGGGATGTGGGTTTTGGGAGTGCCATGGTGGGGACCCGGGGCACCTGCTCCTCAACCCTGGCTTTGCCATCTGCCTTGGGCTCAGCTCCACTTCTCCCTGCAGGAAGGGCAGGAAGAAGGTTGCTCCGGATGGGGTGAAGCTCGTGGATGAGGTAAGAGCACATCTGGGGGGCAGGATCAGCCCTGGAGGGTGGTCAGGGCTCCCAGCCCAGCCTGAGGGATTCTGTTCCCCCACGGCAGGCCCTGCTCTGCCGGACACAGCTGCGGTCACTCAGCAAGTCCGACACGAAGCTGCACGAGCTGTACCGGGTGAAGGTCAGAGATGACGGTGAGTGGCCGTGGAGCAGGGGCAGCCCAAGGGGCTGGTGGCCCTTGGCAACTGCCTGCAGTCCCCATGCTGCCCAAAGAGTACCTCATGTCGTGGACAGATGTGCCACTGTGCTGGCACCGTGCTGCCACAGGGCTTGGTGCCTGTTGCATCCCCTCATTTCCTCTTCTCTCCCACAGTCCAGCGTCCGGCCAGCCTGGATCTCCCCTGTCCCACAGCCCCTGGAGGAGAATCCCTGCACAGCTCCGGCCTCCTGCACCGTGAGCTGCCCCAGATCCCCGTCCCTGACCCCCCGGCTGCCTCCCCAGCCCCTGACCAGACCTACTCCAACCTGCTCTTCACCCCGCTGCGGAAACCAGCGCCAGACTCTGTCTATGAGTGCCTGGCAGTGGGGGGAGAGGATGCCCCGGTGCCCCCCATGCCAGCTGGCACCCAGGTGTCCCCTCCACGGGCTGTGCGTGGGGCAGCTGATTATGCCTGTGTCCATAAAGTGAAGAAGGTGGTGTCAGTGGAGGTGCAGCCTGGGGCTGTGGCAGGACCCCCTGGAGCACAGCACTGCTGGGATGGTGCAGGCAATGCCCCTCAGGCCAAGGTATGACTCTGGGGGGCAGCAGGGACAGGGCACATGGGGGGCTCATTTAATTCCCTGTCTCCCTGTAGTGCCCATGTTTGGAGCAGGGTGTAAGTTAGGATCCACTGCCAGGATCCTCCTGGGGGGCTGCCAGAAGATGGGGGAAACAAAATCCTGAGGATACTCTGCAGTGGGCAGGGATTTGCCCCAAACCTCTACCCCCCAAAAAAATAATTCCTTTTGCAGCTGGAGGAGATGTACTCGACGGTGTGCAAAGCCACCAAGAAGAAATCCCAGGTCCCTGCACCAACCCCGAGGGCTGTGAAGGAGGTGGGTTCTGGGTGGCCAGCCCCCCACCAGCAGGAGGGGGCCCCAGCAGCCCCAGGCCCCCCTGACCCCTGTTACGCGTCCATCAATGACAGAGCATGGACTGCTCAGGGCCGTGGCCCCGACCCCGACTATGAGGCTGTGGACATTAACTGGAAGAAAGCAGCAAAACGGGACAAGCCAGGGAAGCCCTGTGTCCCCGAGAACCTGTACGAGAGCGTGGTGGACATTTGGGCAGGGGAGCCCCGGAAAGCCTCGGCCCGGACGGCGGCCAATGGGCTGGAGGTTTACATCACCAACCTATAGCCCCAGGGAGCAGGGCCAGTGCCACAGGGGGGTCCCAGCAGGCTGGACACCATCGGGTGCCAAAGGGACAGTGCCAGCAGCCCTGTGCCCCCCAGAGCGGCTGTGTCCCTGCACTCTCTCTCTGTATAGATTTTCTGTTACTTGTCTGTGAGTGTCCTTGTCCCATCCCAGCCCAGCTGGTGCCAGCAGGTTGATGGTAGGGTGTCCCAGGATGGGCAGTTTGGGGGTGCTGGGTGCTGTGTGGCACCCCAGTGAGACAGGGCTGGCACTGGCACCAAGATGGGAACAGTGTGAGGACCAGTCATGTTTTGGGGCAGGGGGTGATGGGGCTGAAGCCAGCCCCATGCCTTGGGCTGCAGGACCAGACCCTCATTGGGAGGTTTTTGCCATGTCTGAGAGGGTCTCTGTCCTCCTCATACTGCCTGGGGGAGACCAGGGCCCCCTCCAGCCCCCAGGAAGCCCTGAGAAGCTTTGCTCCCATCACAGAATGTCCCTTGTTATGGGAAGATGGGGTCAGCCCTGTGCCTTCATGGAATCATAGAATATCCTGAGTTGGAAAGGACCCACAAGGCTTCAAGGGATCATTGAGTTCATCTGATCCTGCACAGGACAACACAGAAATTTCACTGGTGTGGGCTGTGGGCTCTGCTCCATCCTCCATTCCCACCCTTTCAGACCCAAGCAAGGGTGTCTCCGAGGGCAGCCCTCTCCCACACACCATTAAAAGGCTGAGAGATGGTTTACACTCTTAAACTGAGTCTAAATCCCTGGTTCCGGGGGCTGTTGTTGCTGATGCAACTGGCGCTGGGGGAGCAGCTTTGAGCACAATGTGGCTGTGAGTGCACCCGCCCTGGACGGGTGGTTTGGCACCTCTGAAATGGGAACAAAGCCACCAGGAGCTGCTGTACGGGGTGATCTGTGCCAGAGCAGAGCCTTGCACAGGGCTGGGGTAGACGCCAGGCTGCGTTTGCTCAGCATTTGCTCATCTTCCCATGGCTCCTGGGAGCCCTGCACCCTCCACGTGCCAAAAAACTTGGTGAGCTGGATGTTTACCAGAGCTTAAACTCCTCTCCTCGCCGGCGGAGTTGCACATCCGTGCCTCAAGGGACGCCGTGAGAGGCAGTGACACTGGCACTGGCCACATGGCCAGCGGCTGGCCAGCGGCTGCCTGGCCTCGTGGCACGATGGCCATGTGCTCGCTGGAGCCGGGTGGAACCTGCAGCCCCTGTGGCAGGAAGCGAAGCGCCTTCCCTCAGCATCTTTGCCCCTGCACCGCAGCAGGTGAAGAGATTAAAACCGAAAACGCGGCGCTCAGCAAACCCAGCTGAAGGCGTTAGAGCTGGAGGCACCCCAGGCATCGTCAGCCCCGTGCTCGATGCCAAACCACAGCTGCTCTCGAGAGCTTCTCCCATCCCCCTGCGAGATAAGGGCGCTGATAGAGCCCGGCTGGTGCCGGTGCTGCCGTGCTCTTCCTGCTGCCAGCCGCCACAAGGATGCGTGGGCTCCCACCACGCTGCCCTCAGCAGCATCCTTCCCCTGCTCCCCTTCTCCATCGTCCCACCGCATATGGCTGGGTCCCTCCTGCACCACCTGAATCCCCTGGGAGCTGTTTTGGGCCGTGTTGCCAGGCACAGGAGTATCATTTCCGTGTGGGACCAGTGTGGCTTCACTCCGCTCCCTGCGCTGCCTGTGGGCTGGGTTGTGCCACCTCCCTGGGGAAAGGGAGGCTTGGAATGGCATCAGGGAAGGGAAAGCTCCTGCTGTGGCGGAGCTGAGGTGGCCAAATTTAGTCTCCAATTTGCCCCAGCAGCAGCAGAAGCCGTGCAGGGCTGCCCGCTTGTCCATAATTCCTGTGGGACTCGGGAGAGCCGGACTCAAATAAAAGAACTGCCCAGTCCTCAGGGTGATGGAAAATGTGCCTGGAGCCCTGGCTGGAGGCTGGAAATCTGGTGAATGAAGAATCCATCCCAAACATCACTTGCTTGGGATCATCAACACACTTGTTGAGTCTCAGGGTGTGGTCGGGAAGGTCGGGGTCGGGTCAGAGCGAGGGGAGAGGGTAGGGTTGGGAGTACCCCGCCTCAGCCCCGGGGAACAGCCGTGTGCGGGGCTCTCTGTCACCCTGCGAGGGACGGTGCTGAACGGTGCCCTTCCCACAAGAGGGAGCGAGCAGGAGCCCGGCGAGCGCCGTAAGAGGCTGAAGGGGCTAAGCCTCCTGTAGTCCCTGTAGTCCCGCACGCTGTGGGATGCAAGGGGCATTAAGCACCGCACCGTGTGACACCTGCACCGTGTGACACCCGCACAGTGTGACACCCGCACAGTGTGACACCTGCAGGTTTGACACACTGCACGGCGCTGTACGGGGCTCTGTGCTATAAGGATCCGCGCCCCTAGGTCCCTGCACCCCGTACGGCTCCGCAGCCCGCGCAGCTCTGTGGCTGTACGGCAGCACAGGGCTCTCCACCCAAGCCAGCCCCACACCCGAAAAGCTCCGCAGCCCGCCTAGCCCCACATCCCTGGAGCTCACAGCCGTGTGACCCCGGCCCCCGGCAGCTCTGCACCCCCAGCAGGCAGCAGGAGGACACGGGCAGTGCGGGCACGGCCGCGGCTCCCCCTGCAACACCACCTGGGCGAGTGGCATCACAGTCCAGTCCGCAGCCAACCCCTGGCGAGGGCATCCAGGCACCACGGGGGCATCTCCCAGGGACGGTGATTCTCGGGGGAGAACTGTGCAGGGCCAGGAGTTGGACTAAATGATCCCTGCGTGGTCTTTCCAACTCAGGAGGTGCTATGACCACGATTTTAATTTGGGATGCCACCCTGCCGAGCCCCCCTGCCCGGGCCGGGGGTCGGGCTGGTGGCACCCTGTGCAAGGGTGGGCGATACTCGTGGAGTTGCACAACACCGAACGGAGCTGCCGGAGCCTCCAGCTCTGCGTTTCGGCCGCTGTTAACCATTAAACCACAGCGGGGGCGGCCGCGGAGCCTCCCCCGGGCCCCACAGGCTCCTGCAGGGCTGCGCGAACAGGGGGCTGCGGGATCAGACTCGGCAGGGAATGGACAGGATGGGGAATAAAGGCTGCCCCGGCTCTGCTCCTCCTCCCGGGCTGCCCGGGCAGGTTTTGGGGCCCCGCGGGTGTCCCGGTTCCCGGGGGACACTGCCCTTTTCCCGGATGCTCCCTAGTTCCTGTGGCGTGCAGGGAGACCCCGCGGGCGGCCGTGCCGGTGTGACACCGGGCGCTTGGCCGGGTTGGTGGGGATTTTCCCGGTTTGCTGCTTTTCTCACTCTTGGGAGAGCACCTGGAGCTGGCGCAGGGTGGAACTGGCACCTCCAGCCCTCCCTCCTCCAGAGCGGGGAACAAGGGGTGGCCAAGCACCCCAGGAGCCACGCTGGGAGCATCGCGTCTCCAGGCAGGGGATCCCCGGGATGCCGCCCCAGCACCCCCAGAGCCCCCGAGCCGCGGGGATCAGCCGTGCCAGGCGGCCCCGGGCTGGGTGGGGGGGGGACGGCAGGCGGGGGCCACCATCCGGGACAGCAGCACGGACTCTGTCCCGGCCTTCAGCCTGCGGCTTGGTCAATCCAGCAGGACCTGGTGGCCCCTCGCCGCCGCCCGGCGCTCGCGGCCCCGCGGGTTTTTGGGGCAGGTGAGGAGCAGAACGCGGGTGGGCGCCAGCCGGAGCTCCCCAAACGCCCCATGCACCCCAAAACCTCACTCACCCCGTGTATCACATGTACCACACATACCCCCTGCACTACAGGTACCCCCTCCATCCCACGTCCGCAGGGCACCCCAATGCACCCCAGAATCCCATGAACCCCACGCACTCCAAGCGTTCCCTGTACCCAGGGAATTCCACGTACCCCACATGCCCGGGGTAGCCCACGCTCCCCATGGAGCCCACGCACCCCGTGTACCCCCCATGCACCTCAGTACCCCAAATACCTCCCGTACCCCTCGCACCCCACCCCGCCCTGCTATTCTGGGTGGGTTTGGCAGTGTTTCCTCGTGCTGGGCAGGACTGACGGTGGAATTAGGGACTTCTTTCCTACTGGGAACGGCGCACACACACCCCAAAAGCTCAGACCACACCCCCTTTTCTAGCAGAAGGCGACTGTAACTTTTGGGGGAGCCCTAGAGCTGATGGGGGATCCCTACAGGCAAGTTGCAGGGGACATAAAACTTCGGAGAGAACTTTGTGGGGGACCCTATAAGTTTTGGGGAGTATAACTTTGTGAGGAGCTCTGCAACGTTTGAAAAACCCCTGTAACTTATCGGCAGCCCTATAATTTGGCGGGGGACATCACTTTTGCGCGAATCCCCCAAATTTTAACGGTGCAAATTTCACCCCGGTAAGTCCACAGGAGCCGTCGGGAGTTTTGCGGGATGCTCCTCGGTGGCGGGATCCCCTGTTTATTTGGGGGGCGCCCAGAATCCAGTGTCGTAATAACAAAATCGGAACATTCGGGGGTCCTCCGCAACTTTTGGGGAGCGCCGCGAGTTTGGCGGGAAAAGGAGGGGTGAGTTCACGGTGGCCCTAGGGGTGCCGGCGGGGACCCAGTGGTGGTGTGGGGGGGTAACACGGGCGGCCTGGTGGAGGTGGGGTGGGGTTTTGGGGGGGGGCAGTAGTAGGGCTGGGAATGTTATGGAGATGAGGATGAGGGGAATTCCTAGGAGGGAAGGGCTGGAGAATTGGTCAAAGAAGCTTAGGTTCATGGTCAGGTTCAGGGGGTGGTGC